TGATATTGTGAGTGGCAAGATAATTTCTCAAAAAGCGATTATACCATCTGTGTTCTGTTTATGGCCGTACGACTGCGCCCATTGATTTAACAAACGGTGGCTCTTTATCCAGGATTCGCTCCTCAAGCCGCTGCCATAAAATACTATCAAAGTTACACACCTGTGCAGTGTTGGGACAATATCAAAAAATCAAATCTCACCAACACCCAAGATCACGCTTGATTTTCGTAGACAAAAAATAACAAGCAAACTACTGCGGTTGATTTTGCAAGCTGTGATATCGCAGCTCGGAATATCAAGCTAACAAAACTCACCAACTGCAAATCTCACCAAACTGTGGTGAGATTGAGTTTAATGATTTTTGCTTTACACCCGAATGCAACCAAAACTTCTATAACGGCTTGCAGCAGTCCCTTCGCGTCTGCCATCGGTGAAGATTAAAAAGAGATAGCAAACTATGCTTTCTCTTTCTAAAAAAACGATGTGCAATTGAATCATTTTTGTGTCGAGTCAACTCTCAGTTGGATTTTTGCACATTGTGAATAGTCTCGCAATATCAAAGGAGCTTGTAAAATGAATATCAAGCATAATATTTTGTTCCAATATCACGCGTGATATTGCGAGCGCATGAGAGTGGCAAAATATCAATTGATTTCTGATTTTGCCAACCAAATGAGAATTTAACATAAGCGCGACAATATCATTCAGAAATAAATTGTGTAGTACGTGCGCAGTAAATGTTGTGAGTGTAACATACATCACTGCTGGTCATTAAAATAGGTGTAGGCAAAATAAATGCGAAATTTTAGGTTATGTTCATTCAACTTCATTTTATTGGACTTTAAGTTAAGCATTTGATAGTGTAATAAAAATTAAGTAATTGCATGAGGAAACTCAAAGTTAAAACATTAAATGACTCACTCATTAGAATCAAATGTAAAATATGCCTGGTCAGTGAAATAGGTGTGTTGCATAAAACTATAGTATAGAAAGCTTGAAGGTAATCGTATAAGTTTTATTAGACTAATGATGCTTAGTAAGCGCTGTGCCCTCTATTCTTAAGTATAACCTTGTTCAATCTTCTTGGCATTTACTCAACCAAGCACTGACAAGTATCCTTTGGTACAGCATACCACTCATTTTGAACTGTGGTACATAGTTGATCCTTATTTGAAAATGCTTGACCACATAACATTCTTTTAAGCTCGTTCCATATATTTTCGATGGGGTTGATGTCAGGAGATTGGCTAGGCCATGAAATAACCGACACTTTGTTTGTACGAAACCATTCCTTTACATACTTAGAAGTGTGTTTCGGATCGTTTTCTTGCTGAAAATGCCTCTTGTGCATAAGGGATCATAACCTCCTCCATGATTTCTTTGCATTTAAACCTGGTCATGGTGGAATTAATACGGAAAATGGGACCTACTCCATACCAAGAAAAACAGCCCCAAACCATAATGCTACCACCTCCATGCTTTACGGTCTTTACCGAGCAATGGGGTATACATGGGGATATTCACTACGGATTTTATCCCATGCTCGAAAAGGATCGACAGAACGTGGGAAAACAGGCTGATGCAAGAAATTTTGTAATTCTGCCGATATACCCCAATGGTGATCTAGTTCTGACATAGCAGAGGACTGATGAACCGGAAATATGTCATAAGAAAGGAATGTGTGTACATATGTAGATTTATAGCTTTCTTTACCATTTCGTCATGCATATCCCAAAGGCCTCCGGTTGGTTTTTTGGTGGAGGGACAGAAGTGTTCAATCATCGTTTACTCTTTCGGTACTATAGGTCTGCTCAGACACAATTTTAACTGCCCGAACGTGAGCTGAAGACTCCAGGTACATGTGAATATTAAATTTCAAATGCAAATGCACTGAATTTTTTTTTTGTTTGATCGAAACAAAAATCGAATGAAAAGGATCGATCCAGTCGATTTTTGTCGTGTTTGAGATCGATTCTAAAAATCGATTAATCGAACCAAAAGAATCGATCTTTTGTGTTTCGATCCAAGATCGCCCATTGCTAGTGACAACGCTCTGACGAGACAAAGAAAACCCCACCCCAAGCTCCTCCCCTGATCTTTTCCTTCGTCAATGTACCCCTCTAACCTCGGGTAAGACTCATTCCCAACTACTACTGTACATAGAAATAAGTGAATTTGGTTACAAACAATGAACAATGAATTGTCGGCTCCGTAAAGCTAACGCAATTGAACCTTCCAAATAAACGAACTTTAAAAAAAAACTTTGTCGAAGACCGGAAGATGGGCAGAGTTGATCCTGAAAAGTTATTATCTTTTTGTTGAAGCAAACCCAAGTAACCAAAAGTTCTGATAAAAGGCTATTTATGGCTTAAGCACCTTGGTTGAAGGTGGTCTATAGAATTCTAAGCAGCCTCATTTTTAAGTCGTTATAAGAACTTGAAAGTTCCGGCACCATAATTGAAGAGCATTCTAAGCAGCCTCTGGCGGAACTTGAACGGAACTTTTAGAAAATAAATTAAAAAACGTTTTTGTCCTCTACACCAATTCTATATTTAGTTCGCACTTCTATGAAAGTTATTTCTAAAGGCAGGTATTAATGTGTATTGATTTATCAGCATTAGTAGTAGTAATGGAGCTGTTTGAAGAATTAAACCCAGTCCTTCTGCGTGAGAGTCTCAGCACGAACCACTACGTCATCTGAAATATATTAAAGTGAGCTGTTGTCCCGCCTATTGTTGGAGTTTTCTGAGCCAGCTGACTGACTTGAATACAAAACACAACACCTTGATGAATTTAAATTGGTGTTTGCCCGCATGGTATTCCATCACACTTGTGGCGCAGTGGTTAGCAATCATAGATCACATTCCGAATACACGGGTTCGAATCCAGGAAGTTACTTTTAAATTTATTTTTTATTATTGGATAGAATGTTGCAGAAATATAAGAATTATGATTTATTCGGGCCACTGATTATTTAATATTTACGTACATTAAATTTTGTTACAAAAAAAGATTTGTGCGGATTGCTTTATGTGGCTTGAAAGTTCTGTCTGAACTTTATTTGACCTTTATGGAACTTGAAAGTTCTGTCGGAACTTTATTTGAACTTTATGGAACTTGAAAGTTCTGTCGAAACTTTATTTGAACTTTATGGAACTTGAAAGTTCTGTCAGAACTTTATTCGAACTTTATGGAACTTGAATGTTCTGTCGGAACTTTATTTGAACTTTATGGAACTTGGAAGTGTTGAATGCCGAACTTTTGGTTACTTGGGAATTAAATCCGAAGCATCCGAAGCAAGGATGGATTAGGGATTTGGGGGAGGAATTTGGAGGAGAATGCCACTGACTGAAAATCCAATCTAATTTTAAGGAGAATTCTAAGCATTTGTGAGGAATTCCAATTATGTAAGTAGAATTTCAAGAGAAGTAAGAGAATCCAAACGGAATTCTGAAAAGGAATAAATGAAAATTGCGAGGATTATTCTAATGAAATTCTCAGGAATATTACAAATGAACTCTGAGGAGAGTTTAGAGGGAGGTGTAATGTAAATTCCAAGAGAATTGAATTGAGATGATATATGAATGAATGCTGGTATTTATAGTGTAACTTTACAAGCGCTGATTATGGTAAATCCTGTCTGCTACCTTAACAAGATTTGTAAGATGAAGATTTATCGTAGACAGTGTTTTCTAAAGGGCATACATTCAAGGTTGCAAATACTCATTTCAGCTAAAATAATGTTTTTCGGAATAATAAAACCAAAAGATGGTATGATGACATATTTTACTTGTAACTTACAAGAATAGGTTACAAAGTATGCGTTTGAAACATAAAACCTGTAAATTTTGCTTTCTATGAGTCACAATCAGCGTTTTGCTGATCGCTGAGTGAGTGAGTGAGTGAGTGAGTGAGTGAGTGAGTGAGTGAGTGAGTGAGTGAGTGAGTGAGTGAGTGAGTGAGTGAGTGAGTGAGTGAGTGAGTGAGTGAGTGAGTGAGTGAGTGAGTGAGTGAGTGAGTGAGTGAGTGAGTGGGTGAGTGAGTGAGTGAGTGTGTGAAAAATCGCTGATTGTGACTCTCATGAAGTGAAATAAACAGGTTTAATATGTCAAACCCATTCTTTGCAACCTCTTCTTGTATCTTACCAATTCAAAATATGACCATAGCATCTAATTATTTCATAATTTAAAAAAAAATAGTTTTAGCTGAAATGAGTATTTGCAACCTTGCATACTTTGGCAGATGATTAGTGAAGATAATACAATGACCTAAAGTTATCATTGAAAATGTGAACTTTTGCTGTTTATTTGGCTTTTGAACTGAAAACAAAGTCAATGCTACTGCTGTTTTAACGTTTTATGTTATCAAGTTCAATTTGTAATGCAGCCAGTGCTATTTCTCTGTACGTCCCATCTGGTCAATCTGATCATACCTGACCATCCACAATCTATTCCTAAGGTTCCATTGTTGAGTACAGATAATGTGCTGCGGGAGCTAAAATCCCATTACACTCCCCCAGTTGTTTACGCTTTCATCAAACGTGGCTCGCCATGGGGAACACGTACACATAGGAACCGGGTGCCTATTCCGGATTCAATTGAATTGAAATCTCATAATAATTCCTAGCATCACGTCTCCTTTTCGAATGAAATATTCTGCACCACATATACGTACCTTATCGGTAGGGTGTTTTTATTAAATGAACTCCATGTCCCTCGTTGTTAATCGTACGATGATTATTTATGTTTTCCAACTGACTGGACACTTCTCTCCGGGAGGGATTTCTTTGGAATACACTCACTTCTGCCTCGAAGATGACGGCCGGCTGGCATCTTCGCGATGCTGTTTACTCCTGCTGTGATAATTTGGTGAAACTGTTTCAAATGTATCGTACTTTCCTTTTGACAGACAGCTTCAAATTTAGAATTACCGTTTATATTCTGTGTGACAACGTGTCACTAATGAGTTTTTTTTTTCGTTTCTCCTTTGCCTTCTTTCAGTTCTAACCGCCAGGTCACAGACGTTTTCCTCGACGGACCTCGAGACACCTCCACCGTATGATGTAGAATCCCTGCCGAGCTATACGATTGTATCCGGTCTGCCGAGCTACAATGACGCGATCGAGCAGCTCAAGCAGAAAAGCAGTGTGGCCAACTTAGAACCGGTCAAAATCCACCGGCCTTCGGTGATTAGACTGTTCGAGTCTCAGTCCCAGGATTTGCTCGCTGGGGCAAAGCTGGAGGAAATCCGGTATAACTTTGCGAGCAATCGCACGACAAGCATCGTGTCGGAAAATGGCACCGAAGTAACGCCGACTACGAGTAGCAGCAATACGGTGAACGTGACGACGGTAGCAGTTCCGAGCTACAAGAGCCAATTTTCCACCACCGAGGTGATCCCGAAAAAGTTTACTGTGAGCAGTTATAGTGTAGAAAATGAACGAACAGGTAGCTAAGTAACGGGTAGAAACTGTACCTTTTGCAAAAAGGGCTATTCACAAGACGAGACTATGACTGTGTTATTAATCATTAATTTATTCCATTAGATGCGATTTTAGTGCATAGTTAGGATTTTAAGATGACGAACCTTAACGAGATGGGTAATATTTACTACTACTTTGCGCCAGTTTCGTTGCTCGCAAGCAAATTTCTGAGAACGGTTATCTCAGTTGAACAAACCAATTATAAACGTGTAGATAATGAAAAATTTCCTTAAATCAAAGACTTAAATGGCATTAAGTGGAAATTAGGCTAACGACCAATAGAGAAAATTGAATTACACTTACCTTTATTTGTGCTTAAGTTTATATCACAGCCCTATTGAAAAATGTCAATCACCATGCTCTGTAATTTACTGGGAGCTGCTGGTCCTATCAAGTTACAATCGCCGTAAAAATCATCTATTCAATTAAACCGTCCTAACATGCGGGTTTCAACCGTTCCAATCAGTTGAATTATCGTCCCCGGATGACAATTGACTCTTTAAAGCGATAAGTTTATTTTATGAAGTGTGAATTCAGCCTCCTCATTATGTGAACTCCATTCTGCTATCTTTGAGTCACGATCTCGATATGTTTGTTTGACGGTATATGGTGAGGGAAACGAGATTGAATCACCTGATACCGATAGTAGCCTATTCCTTGTTCCGAGAATCTTCTCAATGAACGGATTATTTTCTTCCATTCCGAAATGTCGAAAAATTGCTATATTCACCCCTCATTGCCGCTTTGACTCCGTCGTGCAGATATGCAAAGGAATGATGAAAAAATGCGATGACAGCCTAACCTCACCAACCACCCACCAGCGCTACATAGCATCAACCTCGAACCCTGCGCGAATCGGCCGACCAGCCGCAAGCAGCACTCAACAAAATGAATGTAATAAAATTTTACATGACAAAAGGCTGTGATCGCTCCAGTCGTCGTCCTCGTCGTAGTCCGAAAGGGAACATTGCTTCACTTCTGGGCCTTGATTGCAGGATCTGCTGTTGTAGTAGTACCTGAAATGCTCGGCTTTTTATTTAGGAGAGCCGGCGACCTAGCCGGGTCCAATGGTGCTACGGGAACGGGAACAACATTTATTATACACTTGCTACTGGCTGCTATCTGTCCGGTCCCTTGGGAGAAATGTTACGATTGTAATGTGCCTTGCAGTGGCGATGACGGTAATGGTTGGTTGAAAGTTTTGGTATGCTGGCTATGTATTGGAGAAAATTAAAAATATGCAGGATTTCCCACCGTCGAGGTCTGTTCGTTAGATTTTGTTTCATTCTACTCAGAAGCAAAAAAAAACTACTTAAAAGCAGAGGGCAAAACCACCATCCCGAGCTGAAGATCGAAATCCAAATTTGCTGTTATGATGTAACTTATTTGATTACTTCAGTTGATCTCGTTTTGTATGGTTAAAGGTAACACCACAGAAAAAATGAGAGCATAATTTTGCACTGTTTAAACAAACGAAAAACTAATCCTGCTTTCAATGAAATCATTTTGAGAACTGATTTTGCATTCAAAATATTTAAAAGGCCTTGCGAAAATGGTTAACCGATTAGCATCCATGCTTCTCACGCTGAAAGACTTGATTTCACATTTCACCCTGAACAAGTATAAAATGATCTAAAATGCGTTATAAAAAAACAAACAAACATAAACGTTAACAGCAAAATTTGAAGTTAAGTTACTTTGGACATCAGACTTATTTCGCAACAATTGAAATAAAAATTAGTTGTAGTTAGGAACAGCAAACTTTAATATCAATTTGCTTTTATTTTGTTGACCGGACTTTGCTCGGGATTAGAGCAATTTGGGTGCAGCACCGTACTCAGCACGTGGCACTTACTTACAAACAAAAAATATAAAAGGGTAAAAGAATTGCATGCTCTTCACCAATGATATTATAGGTATTGTCTGATAAAACTGTATCGAATCTACGGCAAAAGGTCGAGGAACATCAAGTGTTCATATTTACCGATCATAAAATTGCGAAATTGACAGAAACCTACAAGTGCATAATTATGCACATTTTTTACAGCAGATGAATGGCAGCAACATTGAGCTGAGTAAATTTAACCTATAATTTGAGTAATCTAACCGAAATGTTCAAAAGCTGGACTTCTACATCAACACATTTCAAGCTCCCTCTAGGGTCAATTGGCTTGGTGACTTGTGGAGTTTGTTTTTATCCTTTTTATCTTTTCAATCCAGTAACGCTGGTAGATAAAATTTTTGTGTTGCGTTACTGGAGTAGGATTTTTCATCGAGTCCTGAACAGGAGGGGAACAGGACATTTCAATAAGCAATGGAACGTATTTTAGACCTTGTTATTTTTGTGTGTCTTGTTAGTAGTGGCAAGACTTGGGTAGTGACCGCTACCGTTACGAATTTTTATAGTGTGTGGTCCCAGGAATATTCATATTAAAGAGATTTATTGTCAAATCGTTTGTTTATCGTGTATTTTGCGAAACTTGTCGTTGGTGCCTGGTTTGAATGGTTATAACAACTCGAATAGCGGTATGATGTGATATGAAGGGCTCAGTGTCCTTAGAGCGATCGTTTTGCTTAGTGAGCAGAACATCCTGAGTCTTATCTCAGACCCATCCACATTCAAGATTTGTCAATCGTATTATTTGTTAATTTGACTACATGGTAATAACAGCATCTCGATGATTAAAACGGAGCTAGTTTGTCTAGTGGCAAACGTTTTTGCTTACTGAGCAGAAGACCGTGAGTTCAATTCCAAGCTCGTTTATGTTATATGATTTTTAAGACATCAATTCAGCTTATCGTTTACCAAAACAAACACTGCTGCAAACCCAACAGTCCAGTGATTCCGTGTAGAAATGCAGAGGTGTTCTCGGCTGCCATCAAAGCGAGTGTCAAGTCAAAACATTCATACCCATTCCTTTGTTGACCTGCGTTCGAGTGCGGCCTAGTTTGAGATCGCCAGTTTTTTTACATTGAGGATGATTGTCCCAAGCATCGTCTATTGGTTCGCTGTGTAATTACAGCTGTTCTGGCAATAACATAATAGCAACCGTGGGCGGTCAATCATGCTCATGCTCATGCTCTAACCGAAATGTAGTGAAAGATCTAGATAAAGCCACATGATCTAAAAATAATCTAAGTCTTTTAAATCTTTCAAGAATTTAAATAATATGATCAGCTGCTTTCTCACCCCAATGGGTCTGTGTTCAATCCCAACCGAGGTCGGTAGGATTTTTCTGAGGCATAAAGTTTCATGGAACTTCATAACATCATGCTGGATCTTTAGTTGTTGTGGCAAATTATTTTGGTATTTCCAATTCATGCTGAAGCTTAGATCTATATGTTCTATGTGCTTAACATAGCTCTGTACGACGTCCTATTTTATTATACTAATTCGTGGAACCTTATCACACCATGTGGGACATAAGTTCTTTTAGCAAAATAAATATCTTAGATTCTACACAGTGCCTAGAATTCTTTATGCTGTATAAGGTTTCATGAAGCTCTACGAACCATTATGAAAAATTAGTACCGTAATCCGGAGGCAATTTGATCATTGAGGTGAAATTGATCAAAATGCTTTGCGTTTTCAGCTGTCCCATGAAAAAAACTTCAGCAATTGATATCAAGTGAAATCTTGATAGTAAATATTTCACCTAGAGACTCTAATGATTCTTTTAATTATGTTTTCTCATCAAATCATCCACAAAGTACCACAGATGATGTGAGGTTAATTGTTTTGCATATGTCATGTGCTTTGCGTGTGGTCGAGAATTTCCTGAGAAAATCACCTCTTTTTCTGAATCAAGGCCCAAAAGCCATAACATTTATAAATGACAGATGTCAAACCGAGTGTCGATTATGGCGAAGAAAACCAAAAACTGGATAATGTTCAAACACTTCCAGCCTACCCTGTAAAATAGGCGTTTTTGGCCAGATGATAAATTCAAAATATCCCTTCCTTCTCCTCCGATTGCTTCGTTGAAAGCAGTAAAAAGTAGCGATGCAATTTTCTGCACCACCCCTCCGATTCGCACCCTTCACCACCAGTTTCAGCAATTTCTCCATTTGTCAACGGCATCCACCCTTAGGCAAAGGACGTTTGCTCCGGATAACCAGATCCCGGTAGGTACCTACGTGATGCTGTGTGCACTAGAATTTCACAACACAAACAAGTTTATACTCGCATCATTCTCTCTCCATTCTGATCCCTTCCTAGCTTGAAACAGTAGAGCAGTCAGCAGGAGAAGGGGGTGTCGTGGCGTAGAAGAATTTTCGCGCGCCAAACCCACCCTCCGGTTAAAACGAGAAAATGTCGCTTCATGGAGCAACCCGAAAACGATAAAAGTCTGTCGGAAAGTTTAAATTGTGAAGGCATTTTCATTGTATTTATTTACAGCAGGGAGAAGAGGTACAGGGACGGCCCAAGAATGTGATTACTCGCGTTAGCTCCGATGTTTGGCTCGGATGTGATGAAAGTTTCTGCTGTAGCTTTATAAAGGACTCGGGTGGCATTAATTGGAAACATTGTTTTGAAGCATATTAAAAATAGTACGAGCATTTTTCAGTGTATGCCCCTTGGGACACGACAGTTGAATGAGCTCTTGCCAACGAGAATTGCCAGTAAATTGCTATACTTATGAATCGTTAACAAAAAGTCATATCTGGTTCTATACATCTGAAGCTGACATTGGAAGCGTTATCGGGAAATTCACAGATAACCAGAAATCATTTTTGACTTTTCCATTCTCCGAAGTCAACTGATAAAGAGATGCTTGTTATGGGTGATTTTTGACTTCGGTAGACTGAGCAGTTCCACGCCAACTGACGTATCGATTTTATTTTTCCCTCTCCGAATTCCATGAAACTTTGTATGATTGTTCACTAGGAGCAATGAACCAAGTTTGTGCTAAATAATTTTTAAAAATGACGTATTTGATGTTTTTCAATAAATCATAGCACGAGAACGGCTCATCTAATCGAAATGACGTCTGTGAGCTGAAGCTTTAAGAATCTGTAAGATTTTTCAGGGAAAAAAATAAACACTGGAAAAAATCAAACATTTTCGTTGAAAACGTTAAAAGCTTTTGAATACTTCACAAGTATATTTTAAAGATTTTTAAAGTTTTGTTTATTCGTAAATTTATCAAAAATGCTATGTTTTCTGAAATGGACACAATAGACACACTTCGAAATTCACCAACATCGTAGAACATCAACTACAGTAATGACCCGATTTTGTCAGCCCCTCCACGCATCTGACTTTTATCTTTCAATTGTTTCACATAACCGTAATTCCGAAT